ACGCAAGAACGGTTTGGGAGGAATCCGTGTTGAGCTGGAGATATCAGGTTGCTGGAAGTAAGGTGATCTAGGATGGCTCGCTTCAGAATGCGTTCCATCACCTTGCACGGCACGCTAGTGAGGCTTATAGGCCTATAGCTGCCAGGCGATGGTCGGTCACCAGTTTTGTATATTGGCGTGACAATCGGTTCCTTCCAAGCAGGGGGAAGGCGGCCTTCGTCAAGCGACTGACGAAACACCAAGTGTAAATGGTTTGCCATTGTGGAGGACGTTTCTTTCAGGATCCTCGGATGGACCTCGTCGGGTCCCAATGCGCAGAATGGGTTGATCTTGTCCAAGAGTTGACGAATGTCCTCCACCGTGAAGACCAAGTCGGTTAGAGGCTGTTCGTAGTTTCTCCTTGACAAGAGTGGATGTGACGAGGACGCTGGGGCTGAGTATAGACACGCGTAGGGTTCTCTGTAAGACTCAAATACCACTGTTGGGTCATTCGTCGGTTCTCCGTTTTTGTCCCTCAAGGAGAAAGCAGATGGCTTGTTTCTGCGGCTGGAAAGAGGCACGTATAAGGTCCTATGAGGGGCGTGCAAGCCGATAAATTCGAGTTTCAAATGCGTTACATCCGCAAGCCCTGAAATTCCCGCTGTTGGTTTAACCCGCCTCGATTGATCTAAGCAATGCCCAGGTGGTGTCCGTAAGTTCCAACTTTTTCGGGCTAGGCACTGGGCGCCTTGATAGATATACCGGATCCTGGATTTCACGGATTGATACACAGGATCGAGGCTTTTGCCCAAGTTTCCCGGGTCGTTTTTGCTCTTGTCCGTTAGTGGCTGTCGATCACCTGAAAGGCACAAGATATACCGGAGTATTTCACGGATTGATACACAGGATCGAGGCTTTTGCCCAAGTTTCCCGGGTCGTTTTTGCTCTTGTCCGTTAGTGGCTGGCTGTCACCTGAAAGGCACAAGTGAAAAAAGGGTGAACAACTGCTCTTTATGTTCTCAGCGCGGGGCAGTATGCTCACCAGCACGAGGATTCGCATAAATAAATGTCTAATAGTGCTTTAAACTGGGTTCTAGAAGGAGCGTGAACAATCGCTGGAAGAAGGTCATTCCACGCAGCTACTGCCCGAAATGAGTAAAAATTTTGTCTAATGAATGTGTGTGCTCTGAGCTTGAAAATTTTCACTCCAGGATGGTCTGACGTAGGCCCCATAGAGTATTTGGAAGTCCATACGAGTAATACGGGAGAATGTCCGCCGAATCATCCGTAAAATTGGGAATGCCTTTTGGGCCGATTTCTCATGGGGGAGTGAGAAGGTTGAGG